TTTTGGGGGTTTTTTTTTTTTTTTTTTTTTTGCTTAATCCCTTCACTTTCTTTTAGTTACAATTTTCTTAGCTCTTTTGAAATTATAAAAGTATAATACCAGTTTAAAATTAAAAGGATAAACTTAAAAAATATGGGTTTCCAGAAAACTTGGGGTAAGGAGCTGGTGGAGGATAAGGGGGAGGTAAATGAATCAGCCATATTCTCGGAAGGTAAGTGGAGTTGGAAACTTGATACACCTAGTAATTTATTGGCTCAGGGTTTGTCAATTACTACAGCCCAGCAAATGAGATTAGAGCAGAGTTGATGGGGAGGGAGGGCGTGACGCAAGCTATTGGCACAGAGAAAATCTCGCCAAGAGACAGCTGCGTTATCATATTGCTGCACCATTTTTTATTAACCGGTGGCTGTTTGCGGAGTTCTATCCCCTGCGGCTCTCTGCAGTCTCTGGCCCGGTACTGCAGGACGGGTCACATCGCCCATCGCCATCGTCTGCACTCAAGCCCAGGCCACCGCTGCCTCCGTTCAGTTCTCACACCCTCAGCACCGCCTTCATTCCGGCAGCAGCCACGACCTTCGCTTTCGCAGTCCGGCCTCTACTGGTAGTTCCACCTCTGCCACAGGCACTGCCGCTTCTGATATTCTGGTGAGTCTTTCCTTGCGGAGGTCAGATCTCCTGATCTTGGAGGTAGCTACATTAGGAGTGTACTGTCCTTTGAAAAATGGCCGAGTCAGCTGACGGCAAGGAATTGTTAGTATCCACTCAAGAAGAGGCTGGTAATAAGGTGGTGGTGGAGGGGCCGGGGAAACCGCCGGAACGCGGTGAAAATGCCGCTGCTGGGCCTGGAGATGATGGCGAGCGCAGTGAAGAAGCCGCCTCTTGGCCTGGGGAGGAAGGGGAAAAATGTGAAGATGCTGCTGGGTCTGGGGAAGGAGGGGAAAAAGGTGAAGATACTGATGAGCTCTCTGACCCAGACCGTCCAAAAGGACTGATCGGTTATCTTTTAGATACAGACTTTGTTGAAAGTCTACCTGTGAAAGTTAAGTACCGTGTGTTAGCCCTCAAAAAGCTTCAAACTAGAGCCGCGAATCTAGAATCTAAATTCCTGAGGGAATTTCATGAAATTGAGAGAAAGTTTGCTGAAATATATCAGCCCTTGTTGGAAAAAAGACGTCAGATCATCAACGCAATCTATGAACCTACAAAAGAGGAATGTGAATATAAATCAGACTATGAGGACTATGATGACCAGGAGATGTATGATGAGGAAGAGATGTATGATAATGAAGAGTATCTGGTGCATGAGTATATGGATGAGGATGATGGTTATGAGGAAGGTTATTATGATTATGCTATTGAGGAGGAAGAGGAGGAGGAGGAGGAGGAGGAGGATGACATTGAGGCTACTGGGGAAAATAATGAAGACGATCCTAAAGGAATTCCTGATTTTTGGCTGACTGTCTTAAAAAATGTTGACACACTCACTCCTTTGATTAAGAAATATGATGAGCCTATTCTGAAGCTCCTGACAGATATTAAAGTGAAGCTTTCAGATCCTGGTGAGCCTCTCAGTTTCACACTAGAATTTCACTTCAAACCCAATGAATATTTCAAAAATGAGCTCTTGACAAAGACCTACGTTCTGAAGTCAAGGCTAGCATATTATGATCCCCATCCTTATAGGGGAACTGCGATTGAGTATTGCACAGGCTGTGAAATTGATTGGAATGAAGGAAAGAACGTCACTTTGAAAACCATCAAGAAGAAGCAGAAACATCGGATCTGGGGAACAATCCGAACTGTGACTGAAGATTTTCCCAAAGATTCATTCTTCAATTTCTTTACTCCTTATGGAATCAGCTCAAATGGAAAGGATGGAAATGATGATTTTTTACTTGGTCACAATTTACGTACTTACATAATCCCAAGATCGGTATTATTTTTCTCAGGTGATGCACTTGAATCCCAACAGGAAGGGGTAGTTAGGGAAGTTAATGATGCAATTTATGACAAAATTATTTATGATAATTGGATGGCTGCAATTGAGGAGGTTAAAGCCTGTTGCAAAAATCTTGAGGCAATGGTAGAAGACATTGACCGCTAAGGCAGAGTCTACATGGCCCTGAAATTAACAGCCTTAGATCTAGTTACTCAAAATAAAAGAAGTTAATTAGTCTTGTTCTGAATTTTTCTTGTAGTGTCAGTTAAAGCACATGTCTCAGAAATATAAAAGAAGTTCAAATACTAATTCATTTGACCTTACATTTTAGTAATAGAATGCTTTCAAGAAATGTAGACTGTGATAAATAATTTAAAACATTAAAATAGTGTGATGTATTTTAATCCTTCTGAAGTCCTTTTGTCACTCTTAATGTAGCTATTAATCTGTGGCTGTGAATATTATCCAGACTGCTAAATGAGATCAAAATTTATTTGGAAAGAAAATCTAGGAGAACCCACCCAACGTTTTTTTGCTGTTGTTGTTTATGTATTTTTGTTTTTTAGTGAGTGGGTTTAATTTTGTCATGAATTTAAAACTTGAATGCTTAAGAAGAGGCCTGTATATGGTTAAGAATTTCAGGCAAAACCAAATTTATTAATAACAGCTTCTTCATAGCCTCTTGTATTATGTAATCATAATAAATAATGAAACTTAGTCATACTGAGGTTATTTATTGTGTATCAGTGAAGTGTTAATCACGGTATTTTTAAAAGATTGCCACATTGTTCTGTGTAATTGTGTAAGCTATAATTGCAGTGTATATATTTTTTCTTATATGCATTTAATCATTCATTGAAAGTGATCACGTTACCATTTTGAAAGACTTTTCATGTTCTTTCACTGAAAAATAAAATGAATAAAAATTTCAGTGTTTCATGTTTTAAAACATATTTTTTCTGGTTATAAAAGTAATATGTTCATTGGAGGACATTTGGAAAATACAAAAAAGAATATATTAAAGCTAAAGTGTATATTCTCACTCCCCAAAGATAAGCACTGTTAATGTTTTATTTTTTATTATTATTTTTCTATGTGTACATAGGCATGCAGACTTACTAACACTATATTTAAATATGCAAAGAAAGTTTAACTTTTTTATTGTTTATAACTGATCTAATCTTAATTCTGGATCCACCTCTACTTCCCAGGATTGTAGGGAAACAAAAATCTCAAATTTATAAATCCAGTAAACACACTGCTATTCAGTAATTTAAACACTGTATAAACAAGAAGATCCTGTGTGTTAGTCTATATTTCAGATTTACCTACCTTTCCATAATGTTATCTGGATGTATACGGGCTCATATTGCTTTATGGCATGGGGCAGGGGAAGCATACACTGACTGGGGACAATGAGATATGATTGATCAGAGAACTTTGTTTCAGAGCCTACTTTGCCTTCCTCAGGTATGGAAACTGAGAGATTTGGCTTTCCCCTTTTACAGACTCTGTGAGAGTCACATCTATCCCTCTGGGAAAAAAGAGAACTTTGTGTGTGTATGTGTATGTGTGTTTATTTTTTTTTAAATTTTTCAATTATAGTTGACATTCAATATTATATTAGTTGTTAGTTTCTGGTGTACAGCATAGTGCTTAGACAATCATACTTTACAAAGTGTTCCCCCCAATATTTTCAGTACTCACCTGGCACCATACATAGTTGTTACAACATTATTGACTATATTCCCCATGCTGTACTTTACATCTGGTGACTATTTTGTAGCTACCAATCTGTACTTCTTAATCCAATAGGGAACTTCTTAATCCCTCCCATACCTTGTGAGAACAGAGTGGGTAGGAAATGATAACTCTGTCTTGTTATGGCTGCCTATCTACTCTTCATCCCAGGTGGTTGTGATGTGATCCCACAGAATTATAAAATGAAAGTGGAATGAATGAAAGCTCCTGCTTGTGACTTATTTTTCCACTATTGAACCTGCTCATTCTTTCAGATTTTGGCTCAAAGAGGTAAGTTTTTAACACTGCCTGCTTTTCTTACCTCTGTCTCATCTCTCTGCATTCAACTGAGCAGGGAGGTATGGGCTTTTTCCTCTTCTTGTCTGGACATAATATCGTATCTTTCTACCAAGTACAATAGTAGATGCTCACTTGCTTTTCCCTGGGGTTGCAACAGTTGACAGTGTATAGGGATAGAGAGACAAGTTAATATCATAGGGGAACCTAAATATGGAAATATTTTGCATGTATACTTGGTAAATGTAGACATTTTCACAGTTTTCATCACTGTTAATCTCTATTAAATTCCTGACTCCCCCAAACTCTTCTCACACAGAAAGATTAGGCCCCCTTTAATTGTGTTTACTTTGTGCATTAAAAAGTCAGGAACATGGGTGTATTTTTCCTGCTGTTTCACGGAAGAGAACCAGGCATCTTGAAGTCCTTCCTGTCCCATTCTCTTGCCTTCATGAAGCAAAGCAGTAAAACTGCTTTCTATAAGGGCAGGCCAATCCCCTTTACTGTATCTGTCATGTCAATGGCCTCCAGACAAAGACCATCAGGGACATACCCATAGTTGAACAAGTTGGATGTATTCATTATTGTTGTGTGGCAGAACACATCATGGGAAACTGTTGTATGTTATCAGTAAGTGGGTGTTAAAAATCATATTGCAAGATCTGGGCTTTGGTTGTGTGATTTGGTGGGGGTCTAACAAAGTGGAGGTTTACTCTATATTATAGAAAGAAATTTGGGAGGGGTAATTTTATAATTAGTAGCTCAATAAATCTTTATAGGGAGGAGAGACTAGAACAAGAATAAGGCTGTAGTTGGTAAAAAGGTTGTAGCCAGTCATTTTAGCTAGAATGACAAGGGTTTGGTATTTTTTGGTTGGCACAGAGACCTTGTTTTTGTCTATGCTTAGGCAAAGCAAGTGACCTTGCTTTGTCTCATTTAATCATAGTTCCAGAGTAACCTGGTCTGAGGTTTTCTGTGAGATGGTTTATGTCCAATAGGAGAATAACATGGCTTAGTTGTGAATATCAGGCCAGCTTCCTGATGTCAGGGACTGCTTTTATATTTCTCTTTCACTCCTCAGAGAGGTAACTTGAGACTGTCATTTTCCCCATAGTTTGTGGTGTGATGGCAGTACATTTGATTTGAGTTTAAACTAGTATAAAGTCCCCTTAGGCCTTGAGGGTAGGCCATTAGCTTCAGCCCATATACCAGAAACACCTGCACTAAGGTCTAGGGCACATGTGTAACTAAAAATAGAATTTTACCTTAATTCTTTTTGCAATTGTTCTTAAAAAAAAATATTCATACAGTCTTGGAGGAGTTGTTGAGGTGATTGTTGGGCCTTGTTAGAGTTTGGGTATTTTTAAGGAATATACTAAAATATGTAAATATAATAAAATTTCATCTTAAGGCACATAATTTATAGTGCAAATTACAGTATTTAGTATTATATATCATATGGCAGAGAGGTCAGTCTTTGAAGCCAGGATGCTTGGATTCAAATTCTTATTCTGTAACTTATGAATTGGGTAACCTTGTGCAAGTTACTTTATGTATCTCAATTTTCATATGTTGAAATATAGAGTAATTATTGTGCACTACTTCATATAGTATTATGAAGATTGAATTAATTTATATAAAATACTTATAAGTATGCATAGCACATATGTGCTGATAGGTGTATCTATATTATTTTCATTATTAAGTTTACACCTATAAAATACTCAAAACTGTGTGGTATAAAAAAGGGTGCAGTAAATTCTTATTAAGTTATTAATAACAAAAACTGAAAGCTCATACTTTCTGTTTTAATAACAGACTCCCAAAGATTTTTGAAAGTATTAAGAATGGCTAAGTGGCAAGTTTCGCAGCAGTACTTAATTTACTGACAAGCCTGGTTAACAAAGAGGAAAATATAGTGACTATGGTGTCACTTCCTCACCCTTCCAATGCATTCATTAGCTTTATAGCTGTGTACGCCAAACTCATCACTCATCACAGACCATTTGTTCACTGGCCAATAAATGCATCATTTAATTAAAATATTTGGAAACCAGGAAAAAACAGAATACAGAAAATAAAAATCACGTGAAATTATATATCATCCATAAGTGCGTAATAGATTTGATTTTTCAGTTACCGCACAGATATATGCAATATATAGCTGATTATTTTAAAGCAAAGAATCTTTACCCAGCCAGTGCTGCTCAGTGGTTGAGCATCGATCCATGAACCAAGAGGTTACTGGTTTGATTCCTGGTCAAGGCACATGCCCAGGTTGTGGGCTCAATCCCCAGTATGGGGCGTGCAGGAGGCAGCCAATCAGTGTTTCTCTCTCATCGATATTTCTCTCTCTCTCCCTTTTGCTCTCTAAAACCAGTAAAACCATATTAAAAAATAAAAATAAATGAAGCAGAGAATCTTTTAAAAAGAAATATAGCCCTGGCTGGGTGGCTCAGCTGGTTGGAACGTCATCCTATACACCAAAAGGTGGCATGTTTGACTTCCTGTCAGGGCACATACACAGGTTGCGGGTTTGAGGCGTAGATGGGAGGCAACTGATATTTCTATCTCACATAATGTTTCTCCCCCCTTCTAAAAATCAATTAAAATAAAAGATGTGTAAAGAATAATTTTACTTGGAACACATTTCTGAAATGTATTTTCTTTGAATTCTTTGCCAAATAACATAGTTTTTAAAAGTAAAGACAAAAGAATGTCTAAAATTAAACAATCCCTGCTTTTTAAAACCACACAAATGATCTATCTGTTGATCTATTCCTAAGGTGATTTAAGACGGTAAAAACTCCACTAGTCCCCATTCTGCATGTGCACACACTTCCACACTCCTATTGGTTCTGTGTGTGTCTGTCTGTGTGTTTGCATGTGCTCACTCATGGGATGGAAGAGGTGAAGTGGGATGGGAGTGCACGGGGTGGGGATGTCATTCATCATAAAGGACACCAGCCCTTGTAAAACTTCTCTCCCAGGGCTTGTGCGGGTGCTAAGTAGAGGGTAGGATGAAAGTGAGTGGAGGTGGAATCATCAGAGGCCCTTAGTGTCTCTTCTTTGGCTTGTGTGTGCATGCTCTCACGAGAGCACACTAATCAAAAGGAATAAGTGAAGCGTCTTTCAGGTGCCTGTGCTTTATGAAACCATATTCTATGTGCAAGGATGCCTGTGGCCAGTAAGAAAGAAGGCAACTCTGGCCAAGGTATGCAGTGGTCTGGTGCAGTGAGCGGCTTTGAAGTAGGTGGGAGTGAAGGCGCTTTCGCCCACATTGAAATCGAGGTCAGCTTGTCTGCCTGCTAAATCCAAGGTACACAGAGGGAAGGGAAGAATAGGTGGCAGCATAGAGAAAGGATCTAGCCTGGTTAGCACTTGGCCTGACAGTCACTTGGGAAAGAAAAAGTGAAGTGGATGGCTAGGGGAGCGTCTCAGGAATGCCAGTGTGAGAGGTTTTGGATGAGTTCAGGCTTGGCACAATTCAAGTTTCAAATACCTGCAGAATAGATATGCTTTTGGTTGATGAATTACAATGCCATCTTGAGCCTAGAACAGATTTGGAAGTCAAGTGTATATAAATACAGGTATGTACATGTATATAAGAAGTGGTGTATATAAAAGGCATATTGGAACCCTTCTTTGATTACTTTAATTGCACCATTAAACCACTTGACTTAAATTTGACCATTCCAGTCTGTGTGCTGTTCTAATTTCTCATTGTGTAAGCCAGTTTGCCAGTCAGTCCAATTGTCTTGTTCACTGGTCTTTAAAAGTTCTGTGCAATAACTAAAAGCAAAGGACTAGATGCAGTACTGTGTATTGTAAAGAGACAACACATGACTGTACCTTATTGCACTTAAATGGTATGTGGGGGATTCACAATTGC